GGGGGGGGGGGGGGGGGGGGGGGGAATGGAAGAGGAACTGTAGTTAGATGACAATGATATAAGGCAAAAAAGGATATGTGTATAATTGAAAAATATCCTGAAAACAGAAAACTATTGTTTTTTTTTTTTATTGTTGTTGTAATCTTTGATAAAGCTATTTGTAAGGAATCAACGTATTACAAAATTTGATGAAATTAGACAAATTTTTATTTTTTTTTTTTCAATATTGATACTGTTATGCAGAAATTTATGTGTGTGTGTGTGTGTGTGTGTAATATATTTTGATAAGTTAACATTTGCGACGACGTTTTACATGGGATATATGTGTGATGTTCAATGTTTTATCGGTGTTAATTCATTGTTGGATATTATAATATTGTCATATCGTTATAATTGTTATTAAAATTAATAATATAATAATAATAATAATTATTATTATTATTATTATTATTATTACTAGAAAATATTAGTTTATATATGAAAGGAAAACAATACTTTATTATTTATATTGTTATTGTTGTTGTTATTGTTATTGTTGTTGTTATTATTATTGTTATTGTTATTAGATTCTTAGTATTACGATTATTATTATTATTACTATTATTAGTATTATTATTATTATTATTATTATTATTATTATTATTATATTATTATTATTATTATTATTATTATTATTATTATTGTTATTTGTTATTTTCACTATTACTAATTGTTACTGACTATTATTAGGTAATAGGATTAATATCAAAAATTAATTATTAAGGTCTTATTATTATTATTATTATTATTATTATTATTATTATTATGTTCTTTTTTTTTGTTTTTGTTCTTATTTTTTTTTTTTTTTAAGTGACGACATAAAAATTGTGCTGTTTAAAAATTGAAATTGACGCACGCTTTTAATGCCTCTTCTTTTTTTTTGATTTTGATTATTTTGATTTTTCTCTTTGTCTCTGTCTGTCTCTGTGTGTGTATGTGTATGTGTATGTATGTATGTATGTATGTATGTATGTGTGTGTGTATGTATGTTTTTTTTTTCTGTTGTTTAGAGAAGCAAAGAGAGTTTTGGTGAGCAGCAGAATGGTGGCATACGCCACATTTTGTTATTGGTGGTTGTGTGTGTGTGTGTTGTTGTTAGAATGTTTTGTAACAACATAATTCACTGTCAGTGCAGCCACCAGTTGCGGTTCTGTCTGTGTGTCTGTGTGTCTTCTCCTTTTTTTTTTTTTTTGATCTGTGTGTGTGTGAGTGCGATAAATTGTTGGGTGTCTGGGAATATTTTAGAATCTTAACTGTTGCCGTTGTTGTTGTTTATTTATTTATTTTTTCTTTTGTTTCTTACAAATAAACATATAAGGATAATAAAAAAATGATGAATAATAATTGGGATAACTGATGAGTGTTTTTTTTTTTTCCCCTTATTGCTATTTTGGAAGTATTGGAGGCGGAGGGCAATGGGCAGAGGGGGTGTAATGTCAAAGATCATCGGATATCACCGTGTTAATCGTTTCTTTTTTTTTAACAGA